TCTAGGATGTATCCAATTTCTGACATAATAGTATTGATGTTATTTGGATCTCAACTGAATCCTGCCTCTATTTCAGAAGAAATATTGACAGCTACTAAAGGGCAAGCACCTTTTTTACCAAGTAAAAGAACCAGCCACAAATGGAATGAGAGATAAAACTACAGTAAAATATTAAAGGAAAGATAGAAGGTTAATCTTAAATATATATATATATATGCTTCATGAGGAAGGTAATTGTGCTAGCAAATGCCTTTGAATCGTCATCTATAAACTTCAGTATCTACCACATAAGGTCTATGTTTATCATAATTTATTTCGACCTTAGCTATGGAACCCCTGACATGGCTGCTTACTGGCAGGAATACCAAATGCTGCAATAAAAGTGCTTCCATTTTTTTAAGTCTGTCAATCTCTTTATGGAAGCTGAATCATACTACTTTCTATACATAAAGAAATCAACCTTAAGTTTTATCCACATGCTACACGCCAATATTAATAGTTAAAAGAATCTAGGCAGAAGAATGTGATCTACCTGCTTCCAGCTGAAAAGTGTCATGTATGATAAAAAGTAGACTACATGAATGAGCTTTTCCACTATGTGGATTTTTGGGGAGGGGTGGGGATGCCCATGTGTGTGCTATCAAAATGTCAAAAATGAATCTAATACATTGCCCTACATTTATGCCTAAAAGTCTGGTCAGCAGTCTCTCTCAGTAAGGCTGTAGTTGTCATGAGCTCTCTTAAAGAGCCCATTAATGCATTTCTTCAACGTTTTTATAGTTCTTAGCACTTTTATTAATTAAATTATCAATGCAATGCCATCAAAGTTGTTTATTTGGAGTTTTTTTAAATATATGTCACTGCAAAAACTGTGTTAAAATAGAATTAAGCAGAACTTCCAAGAAAATGGTGGCACACTGTAACTGACACACCACCAGCACTATACAAATGTATTGAAGACAGCGTGAGACCTGACATGCATTTGCTGTAAATGTCATTAAAGTTCATGGTTTTATTTATTAACATTAGAGTTCCTAGTCAGACAAATTATATGATAATCTGTATAAGTAAACAAGCATGTAAACATTCAGAGCCCTCAGATTACACGTGATTTTTTTTTTTTTTTTTCTGAAACACATCCTATCTTTTGGGTTTGCTTCTGTCTTCCCCCTAGAGCTCATTAAAGGGAAGAGCTAAGGCTCTGTGAATAATTCTGTAGTCATCTCTTCTATGCTACTGCCGGGAAGCAGCCAGAATATATTCATATTTATGAGAATATTGCTCACAAGAAAAGATGAGACAGGAACAGCAAAAGATTACAGGATTTCATTTGATTACCCAAAAGCACAGATTAGATATGTCAGTGAAGGGACTGGAGAATTGTGACCACCTCAGTAACCAAGGGCATGAAAGCAAGCACAGTCAGCACTGCAAAGGCACTATGTTCTTGCTCTACTATACTAAAATCTCTAAGCAGAGGGCTTCCTTAATGTGACCTCAAAGAAAATTATTATTAGATATTGAATGGAAATTTTCCAACATCAGGAACAAAGTGCTCTATAACTCATTCACTCTTTTTACTTCAGGTCAACCAGAACTCAGATTCTCAGATAATCTTATAAAGAGTCAGGGGCGTACGTTATTTCGCATGCACTGTACCTCAAATAGGACGTTCAAATCAGTTGTAATTACTGCTAAGGATACTGCTTAACTCAAGACAGAGCAGAAGGACATACAAAACACATATTTTCTGATGTATCAGAGAGCATGAACATAGGCCCAGACAAAATTTATTGACATTAATCAATTAGTAAGCTCCTTTCAGAATGAGGGACACAGATTCTGCAAGGCTTGCGTGCCTCTTTGGAGTCAGTTTCAAAGGTTTTGCAGGGAAGCAAAAGCTCTAAACCTAAAAATTTATGTAAACAGAATGTAAACACAATTTTCCAGAAGAGAACTAGTTATGGCTTCCTTGCTTGGCCAGTCTCAGAAAAGTATTTACATGCCATCTGCCTGTGCAACAAGTGATACCAGTGGATGCCACTATCATCTGTTCTGCGCAAAAAGGGTGATACTGACTCCAGGCAGAGTCTCTATGCAGAGATGTGTTGTTTTAGCATCTGCTGGACACATACTTTCAACATGAACTAGAAGGTGTTTTCTCATAACTAATCATCTTGGGTCTGGCAGTTCATGGTGCGTGAGGATGCCACAGGGAATAGGAACGTTCATCATCACCTAAAACTGTCCTATGGATCACACATGATCTTTAACACATTTATATACAAGTCCAAAGGAAAAAAATACTCCATTCTCATACATTTATATAATTAATTTAATTTTTAGTTCCATGTTTCAAGACTAAATGGAATTAAATATTTTTGACAGATACATTAGTAGTGTAATGCATAAAATAATATCAGAGGGAAAGATGACACTGTTAAGAACATAATTACTGCTACAGAACTCTCTCTCAGAAAAGGTCACTATATCTGAACAAGGTCTTCACACATAGATATCTTCAAACAGGACTGTCAGAATTCCTCATCTGAAATAATATCAACTGCTGAAATTTTGATTTTTGGCATTTGAAATTTGAGTGGCTCAGTTTCTGTATTTAGCAGAGCAGAGCTCAAGTTAATAACCTGCTTGCAACTGGCCTGCCTCCTCATGAAGTCAAGTTAGGTCCTGGAGGCTTATCAGCTCCTTGCCGTGCAAACACAGCTGCTGCAGATTCAGGGCTGTATCTGGACGCAGCACAGCCCCATCCCTGCAGCACTCGACCACAGCTAACAGC